AGAAATCTGATGTAGGGTCTCTCAATTTGGTGACATTCTCAAGGTCTAGAGTCAGTCTTCTCAAAACTTCATTTGAGACTGCTGGATGATCCCTGGCACCCAATATGCCTTGAAAGCCTGATGAAAAGGGTGCAGAGTCAGAGAGTAGCTGGCTGTGAGTTCGCTACATTTCCTTTCCCCCATCTCACTCCACCCCCACCATGGAGATCTTTCAAGAGCTGTGGTGTCTGAATCTTGGAGGGACTCCAGAACCTGCATATTTGACAGAATAATGGGCAATTTCTTTCTAGATCTACTAGACATTCACCAGGGCAGGGTATAAAAGCTGGGAGAATCCAGGGCATCTGGATTTGGGTGTTGGACGTGATTTGCAGGTGAGCATAAAGTGTTGATTTCACATCTATGGTGTTGCCTCCAATGTCACTTTGGTTTACTAGTACTTTTTGGAATTCATACTCAAAAGCTATTAAGTCAGTTGACTACAGTCTAGAGCCAGGAGAGGAAACAAATAACATGTGCTCCCCAAAGATTATCCAGCTCTCAGCTGAAGCCCAACAGATGTGTAAGTGAAACTTGGGATCCTTCAGAGAGAAAATTGTAGACTCAAGAAAGGTAGATTATAGTCAATTATAATGATAATAATAATAGTAGCAGGATTAAAACCAGTATCATTTATTGAGAAAGAGGAAAATCTGAAGAGAGAAAAGTATGTGTGAGGCTGCACATACAGCTGTCACTGTGAGCCCTCCAGTTGGCTGCCTGGAGTGCTTTCTCAAAGGCTACCGAAATATCTATCTACTCATTTATCATCCAGCAAAGCAACTACAATACTTAGATGGGGAACACACCCAAACTGGGCTTGCCATGTATACTTACCCCCCAAAAAGTGCCCTCCCATCCCTGTAAAGTTTTATCCAGCTCACAAGCTTCCTTTTCTCAACTCATTAAGATATGAACAAATAAAGTAAAATGAAATATCCTTCTGCCTTCTCTTTTGAAATCTGCCAAGTATCATTGTCTTGGTAAAAGCAAAGTGGTAAAAAACAGCTAACAACCTTCTGAACAACATTATCTGACACAGGCCTAGTGTTTCTTCCTACCCATTAACCCATCATGTCTGTTTCTCGTTCATATACGAGTAGTCAAATTTATTCCTTAGAAAGTGCCTTATGTTGAATGGTAAAGCTCAGTAATATAATACCCCCTGGAAACTCTATTCTCTGCCTCCCTCAATCCTCGTAGCCCCTTGCAGGGACCCCCCCTGTGGGAAATTAATAAGCTTAGGAAGGAGCTGCCACTGTCTGCTTCCTTGCCATCCTCTTGTCTCCCAGTGTGTCTTTATCCTGCCACCATGAAAGGCCATAGTCTTTTGACAACCAAGCTTTTGCTAACATAGTGCTTTGGAAATAGGATTAGAGGGGCAGGAACCAAGCTCTACCTAGAAAAAAGTAGAAAAAGAACCAAATGTTTTCATTCTTATAGGATAATAACCTTTAAGTGAATTATTCTTAGAGAGGTAACTTGCCTCCTATCACAGAAGCTGAGATTAATTTGGGCCTCATTTCTAGACTCTGGGAGGAGGAAGGGCATTCCCATGCTAATACTCTCTAAGAATCAGATTCCTTTTCTGGCCCTTTCTCCACCCTCTCACTTAGGTCATAAAAGGCACCACCTCAGAGAATCATTCCTGAACCTCTCTCCAGGCTTCTCTTCCAAAACTACACTGCAGTTTCCTACACGTTTTTTTTTTTTTTTTTAAACCTTAGCTTCAAGGAGCCTTGCTAAGGTGGAACAAGGTGAACATACCTACTTCTTGTTGTTATCTTTCTAATCGTTTACTTGGAAATGAAATCCTAGGGAAGAGAGCTTCAAATAGATGCATAAACCCATTGTTCCATGTGAGTTACATAAAACTATTGACTGAAGTACATTTTTATGGTGCTGTCTGAGGCTGACTAAATGCCTCAACCCTTCATTTAGTATCAGTGAATTCCAGTAAGTAATAATACACAATGACTTCAAAGTAGTTTTATGCACCATTTTAGCCCATAAAATTCTAGAAAAGTGAAAATAATTTATATATTTCCTCTATTTTATTAATAATTGTCATTTATACCATTGTTACATGTATTACCAAACAAAATGTGTGCCACTTAAAATACTGTAAAACTCCCCATGTAAGGTTTCAACTTGAATCTTACCTACTTTTATGTCATTTATTTAATCCATAAGGCAAAGAGCTGGTTGTATTCATAAAGTGTGAGAAATTATTTTATTTAGAGGTCTTCCCCTGAAAGCAGAGGTGAAAATCTAATTAGAGGACAAAAAAAGTGAAACTGAATGAAGAATCTGATGGCCAGATTCAAGATAAGTCTCTCTCCTCTCTAATGTATAGAATTTCAGCTACTTTCTAGCTTGTGATTGGAAGGTCAGGCTCTCCCACACTCAACTGAAGTACCAGAAACATTATTTGATACAAACCAGAGTCAAAGTTTCAGCCTTCAAAGAAGACATAGTCTAAATGTTCTCTAAATTTAACAAGAAAAAGGCCAAGCACAAAGTAAAGCCTTGCATTTAGAGTTTGTTTTCTAAATGTCCATGTTATGAAGTGGATACTTTTATATTTGTAATTTGTTAAGAGGATTTTTTGAGGTGACTTGTATGGCACGTGACTTTTCCCGGGAAAAATATACTTCCTATTTCCCAAATAATAGCAAAAGGAAGCACTAAGACGTGTTCAGTTCAAGAGGTCAATGGCATCATGTCCTTGAACATCACCCTATGCCCTCCCCAGTGCACACTATTGCCTGTAACAGGCTGTAGTTTTTAAGGGACACAGCCTTTTCATAGTTACTTCTCCATCTTGCTCTGTTTACACCTGTGCCTCTTCTCCCCTTTTTATTCTTTCTTCTACTCTGAATTCACTTAAGTATCTGGCCCTTATTCTTCAACTCTGAGGGTTATTTTCCAGATGTTTGAGACAATTGTTTGACATTTCTAATTCTCCCACCTTTCCTTTATAGAAGTGGTTGGGAGGGCAAATAATTTTGTTTGTGGTTCTGTGTGTTTGTGAGTATGTGTGTGTATGACAGAGGGAGAGGAGAAAAGAGAGAGCGAGAGAGAGAGAGAGAGAGAGATATCTTGTAGTCAATGGAGCAGCCAGTCATAACACAATTGGTAGCTAAATACAGCTTCAATTTCTTATATATAGACATAGGAGAGCCCTCATTGCACTGAGCCTTGGTCCTTAGGAGCCATCCTTAGTTAAGCTAGTTAAAATTGTACGTTTTTGTGCAAGAGAAAAGATATTTTAAGATGAAGATGAAAGAAGCTGTCTTTGGAAAGTCAGTAACTAACTTGAAAAATATGGAAGAATTCTCCACTTTCTCTCAATAGATAGGAATTCTGCAGCCCTTTCTTCCCTGAGTCCCTAGACAGGGCTCAGAACTTGCATGGGGTGCTGATCAGAAAGGAGACGGGAACACACACACACACAAAGAAAAGAAACAGAAAGAGACAGAGACTAAGGAAGATAATTTAGTGGGAAATTTCCCAGACTTCTTCATGTCTCCTGGACACAGTCCTTCCCTGGCCTCCTCAGACTGCAGGCACGTGATGGTCAGTGCTTCCCTGTCTCACTGGCTTCCAGAGAAAGGTCTCAGAGCTGTAAGAAGATCCAGCTAACATGACAAGCTGCTCTTTGCATACTCCCCCTATCCCCAATACTCATCCATCAACACTGGCAAAAGCCAGAGCTGTTTCCACCTGAAGTCGTGGTGATGCCTCTCCCACTTTAGCCAGCTACACAATCCGATTTATAATCTGACAGATTGCCCACTTCAGAGTCCTAGAGGGGTGGGTGGGACTTGAAGGAGCTGGAGGGCGGTCTATACTACTCAAAGGTCTCTTTTCCCTTAGAAAAGAGCCTTGAGATCCTCCAGCGAAATTCAACTTGCAGGCTGTTAAAGACTTTAAGTCATAGCATCAGCCCCTGCACTAAAGGGGCCAGCCGGCGCCTCTAAGTGGCTTAGTGCGCAAACGAGGCTCCCGAGACAGGTCTGGGCAACGCCATCCATTCCTCCACCAGCCGCTGGACGTGAAAAGCTTTCCGGAGCCCATCACTGTAATAATTTTTTACTTTGAATCACCCTCTCGCTCCCACCCGCAGCTCTTAGAGTGCTGGTAGCCCCCATTATGGGACCCCTCCGGAACTACGCAGACTGTGCCATATCGTGGGCAGAAGAGCAGGAACAGCTGAGTCCAGTAACCGCGCTTCTCTCACCGACCCCTGCCCTCAACCCAGCTACCCAGCTACCTGCCCTGAAACCAGAACTCTTCTTTTAGCACCCTGCCAAAATCGGCGCGACCTCGCTCTGTCCCCTTACCCTATCCTCTTGGCTAGGAAAAGCTGAGCCAAGTTCTCGCCGCCGCGCATCCTTTCTGAATTTTGCTCGGGAGGACTCGGTAGTGTGTGTGAGCGCTCCTGAGGAGAGCTAGCGCCGGTCTATCACCCCCATGCAACTAGCTGCGCTCCTCAGCGGCGGCCCAAAGGCCCCAGCGTCCCCCGGGGCTAATCCGCAGCTCTCTCGCCGTCAAGACAGTCGGACTCTGGGGAAGCGCGCGCGGGATCCGCGCACGCACTGGAGGTCCAGCTCTCTGTCACGGGTTCTCCAAGTGCAAGTGAAACGGGAAAAAGGCTCTCTCCAATGCTTTGGTCCCTTCCTTTCCGATCTCGAAACTGATTGTCCCCTCCTAGCAGTCTCAGAGGGCCCAAGCTGCAGTAGAAGCCGGGCCGGGCGGCTCGCGGAGAGGCGTTACGGGGCGGGGAAGGCGCTCGGGATCTTCTGGGCGCGGGCAGGCCGGGGAGAAGGCTGCGAGGCAGGCGGCGCCGGAGGGAGCGCCTGGCCCAGCAAAGAGTTAAAGGGAGGGGACGTGGGCTGTCACGCGTCATTGGGCAGATTATGTGCAGCAAACAAAAAGTGTGTGTCTGCGTGCCAGTCAGTCACTGCATCGGGTCCATCTGTACAACTCTCTCCGTTTCTCCCCCTCTCTCCGCTCGCTCTCATCTTTCTCTCCACATCTCTCCATCTCTCTTTTCTCTCTGTAGGCAGAGCCTACTTGACAGCGCACCAGCCCCTCTAGACATGGAAATATACTGATACAATAGGCAAAAAGAAACACTCGCTCGCGTCTCCCCATTTCCAGGTGGCCTCATTTGGGCGATCTGATCCTGACCTTATTCCTGGTAAGTCTATTTGCATTGAAGTGGGAGGGGGATGGGGAAAGGGCAGGTTTGGTGGGAAGAGTAGAAAATTTTGTCCCCGTCTCCGCAACCAGAAGAGAGGGGAAAATAATTGTTAAGGGGAATCTCTACCGCCGGTACAATTATACAAAAGGAGGCGCGGGTGGGGAGCACTTTGCCGGAGAAGCGGGGACTGGGCAGCGCGCGGCCGCCAGACAATGCCTGCCGGGAGGGGAGGCTGCCGGCGGCCGCAGCGACGGGCTTTCGGCCAGCGCAGGCGGCCCTGGGGAGGGTCCTCCGGGGGAGTGGGAACCTGGGCCTAGAGCAGGACGCGGAGCTGTGAAAGGCCGGGTGCCGAACGCCACCGCACGCGGCCGGGAGAGCTCGGACTCTTCTTGCCCAGCGGTTATTGTGACCGGCTCGAGGCTTGTGGCGGCCGCCGCGGCGACGCGGACCGCGATCAGCGCGCGTAGCCCGGACCTTTCACCGTATTGTTAGATAGAACTGCATTTTAATGACTGTGTCCCTGCTGTTGCCCGAAGTGACGTGGCGACCTCCAACACAATGAAATGCTTGTGTGAAAAAGATTTTTTAAAGGAGGAGAGAAATTGGGGCATAAAACGCTGAATTGAAGGAAATTGAAAAGGAGAGACTAGGATTCCGTTGAAAAGGAGCTGAGAGGTTCTGTTACGTTTTGCTGTTTTTTAAATTTGTAAATGGAAATCAGGAAGCCTACCTTATCTGAGGTAAAGATGCTCAGGGATAGATGATGTAGGTAATAAAGTTTCTATTTTATGGAAATTTTTTCTTTTTGCTGCTGTCTGGCAGCCCAACACTTGATATTTGTGGACGCGCGGGAGAATGAATGAAGACGGTCTGCGCAAAGTTTTAAGCCATGTTAGCTGGAAAGAGGGAGGAAGCTCTATCTCATAATCACATTTGTAAGATTAATTGGTTAATAGATATTAAGATGAAAATACACATTGCTAATATTACTAATATTCCATAATGAACAGCTTTGCAGGAAAAGAATCAGGTCTGCACTTTCCTGTTTTTATTTATACAAAACATACACAAATGACTGCCAATCGTGGCATTGTTCGGAAAGAACAAACTCAGAATAATCTTCTGAACAGTCAGGAAAAGTAAACAATGCAGCTAGTTCAAAGCTAGTTTAAAAAAGTAAACACCTGATTTTTTAAAAATGGTATGTGTTGTAGGGGATGTCCAGGAGCAGAGGAAGGTAAGTGTCCCTGTATGACAGCTTAATAGAGAGCCCTCCATTGGGGCATTACTTTCTAAATTGCTGCGGATTAAACAGCTGGAGAGCCCACTGAGGACTCCTCAAGCAGGGCTGCCCCCTCTTGCCCAAATAGGGTCTGTATGGGGGGAGTGAGAATTCACCAGTCATTACACACAGTATTTCAAACAGGGGAGCCTTCAGGCCTGTCCTATACCTGTTTGCTTCATGACTCACATGCGACTCAATCCACCCCCATGTATAACAAGGGATCTGGGATTCACCCTCATCCATAAATAAGCACGTGGAGAAGAAAAAAATTACCTCTGCTTGCTGCTTTTAATTAAAGCCTCGGAGGGACAGTGTTGGATTATGGTAATGAGTAGACAGACACAGGTCCCCTCGTGTAGGCTACAGAGAAAGGTTAGCTGACACAGAATTAGTGGCCCTGACACACCACTTGAAATCCATTCGCCATGCCCCACTGTCTCTGCCTGCTCGCTGATGCTGTGCCCCTCTTTGGAAGAAAACAAGAAATGGGCTCGTGGGTACCCATTTTAATACATCAGAGGGAAGGAATGTTTTCCCTAAGGATGAGAAGTTTCTTCTGGTAAGGAAAATCTATAAGCTGGAAAAAAAATAGTATTATTTTTCTTCACCTCCCCCCCAAACCCCATTCAACACCAATTCAATATAAAAATGATCTGACTGTCATCTTTCCTATCCCTTTCTTTCCTTCCTTCCAGGCAGGCAGTCAGTACCTCCCATTATTCTAATTGCTTTTTTAAAAAAAGTATCCTGTATTTGTACTTGCACCTTTGAGATATGCCAGATTGACCCACTTTAGTTTTTAAATAAGAGCTAGTGCAAGGAAAATCTGTCTTGGAAGTTAAAATGTTCTGTCTGGGTTCATAGTGTTGTAAGCGGTAACGTAACTCACTTCCTTCTCCTGTGTATCTATCTCCAGTGATGGAGGATTCAGGCATCCAGAGAGGCATCTGGGATGGAGATGCAAAGGCTGTTCAACAGTGTCTGACGGATATTTTTACCAGCGTTTACACCACCTGCGACATCCCTGAGAATGCTATATTTGGTCCCTGTGTCCTGAGCCACACTTCCCTGTATGACAGCATAGCTTTCATTGCTCTCAAGTCTACTGACAAGAGAACAGTCCCCTATATCTTCAGGGTAAGTCCCAGCCAGTCCTGGGTGGGTGGAGGAGGGCAGTGTCCCGTTGCAAATGAACGAAGGGGCATTCTACTGACAAAAGGAGACAGGTTTCCAATGCAGAAAATGTAACAATGCAAGCAATCCCATTTTACACACCAACAATTATAGAAGGGAAATTAAACTCGAGTTACTGTCAACTGATTTTCAGGAATAAATGACAACATTTGATTTGGAATGTTAGAAATATCTAAATTAGTGTCTCAGTTCTGAATTTGCCTGGTAATGAACATAATTTCCTCAACTCGGAGATTTCACTGAGGCTGAGGCATTTGCATGCAAAATACTTTCTGAAAGTACTCTTTACACGTATATTTGCTTTCCAGATGAGGAAGTCTCCTAAATATTACTTTCTTTGGCAACATTATCCAGAGTTTGTGTTTAAATTAAAATACTCTTGATTTTGACAGGAAAGCATCATTAAATCCAGGTGTTTGAGTTCGCAGACAAAAGGCCTCTCACTTCCTATTCTTTCTTTACAAAGAAACACTATTAATTATTCAAGCCAAAAATAGGACGATGAGTGCCACATAATAATTTCTAAGATTTAAGCCTGCGTTTTTTCCTGAAACTGACAAAATTCCCTATACCTTTGCAACGCGGGATAATTTACAAGTAAATTCTCAAGAGGTTAACACTAAATGATAAGGAGAAATTTTATCATTCGGTGTTCAACCAATATATGAAAATGTTGACTTCATCTGACCGATGCAGTGTTTTGAAGGATGAGTCTTCTTACCTACTGGTTACGAATACGAGGACAGATCCCAACTCGGGTCAGATTTTTAGAAACTTGTTCTCAGAAAATTTTAGGAAAAGACTGAGGTAGAGGAAATGGTCCTGGTTCCTCGTCTCACGTGGGTTTCTCCCTCCTCCCCCTTTCTTGTCTTCTTTCTTCTGTTTTAAATTGTAGGTAGACACCTCGGCGGCAAATGGTTCCTCAGAAGGTCTCATGTGGCTGCGGCTGGTCCAATCAGCCCGAGATAAAGAAGAGCAGAACCTGGAAGCCTATATAAAAAACGGACAGCTGTTTTACCGCTCTCTCCGCAGGATTGCCAAAGATGAGGAGTTACTGGTTTGGTACGGGAAAGAACTGTCTGAGCTACTCCTGCTCTGCCCGGCTAGATCCCACAACAAAATGAATGGTAGGTCGGCCCAGCCCCGCCGTGGGCCCTCGGCGAGCTAGCCCGGGAGAAGCTGGGGGCGGTGGGGGTCTCTCTCCCCCCTCGGGTGTCTCCTGGGAAGGTTTAGAGACGTAATTTAGAATGAAGCTGAGCTAGGTGAGGATGAATAGGGGACACTTGGCCTGACTGCAGCGTTCCCAAATCAGGAGGGAATGTTTGATCAGGCCCGAGTGTGGATTCTTTCCTTGGAAACTCAGACTCTGGGAGATGAAGGTAGATTTGTGAAGGGGATGATGGCAAACTGTCCTGGGGCAATGCTGAGTAACCGTGTGTGTGTGTGTGTGTGTGTGTGTGTGTGTGTCTGGTGTTTGCTCGTTAAGCAGGGTCGTCCCCTTACACTTGCCTGGAATGCAGCCAACGTTTCCAGTTTGAGTTTCCCTATGTGGCGCATCTGCGTTTCCGCTGCCCCAAGAGACTTCACAGCGCCGATGCAAGTCCCCAAGACGAGCAAGGCGGCGGCGTGGGCACCAAGGACCACGGGGGCGGCGGCGGCGGCAAAGACCAGCAGCAGCAACAGGAGGCCCCCTTAGGCCCGGCCCCTAAATTCTGCAAAGCGGGTCCCCTTCACCACTACCCAGCCCCCTCCCCCGAGAGCAGCAACCCACCCGCCGCAGCCGGCGGCAGCAGCGCAAAGCCATCCACAGACTTTCACAACCTGGCCAGGGAGCTGGAAAACTCCCGGGGAGGCAGCAGCTGCTCCCCAGCCCAGAGCCTCGGCAGCGGCGGCGGCGGCCACC